TATATATATATATATATATATATATATATATATATATATATATATATATATATATAATTTATTGCGAAGTTTGTTGTATTTTGAATTTCTTTTTCCTTTTCATAGTATTTAACCCTTTATCGATATCGTTGTATCAGTTGCAAAGTTTTGCATGCATATCAGTTGCAAAGTAATGCATATAAATGTCAGAGTAAAAAATTAATTCATTTTTACAAATTAATTATTATTATATAATATTATATAATCATTATTACTTTATTATTTCGTATAGGACTTTTTTCTGCTAATCTTGTATATTTTGAAAACCGGCAAGAAGTAGACCAATAAAGGGTTAAAGAGTGACTCGAATCACTTATCATTTTAATATAAGATAGGTTGTAGGTCCTTGACGTGATGTGGGAGATGTACTTTTTAGCTGTAATATGTTGAAGTTAGCGTATCTTTTGCGATTCGCAAACTTCTTTGCGACAGTTATCTCTTGCAAACAATATTACTTTGTGCAACGTGTGTAATATATTCATTTGTACGTATTTTACGCGTGAACGCTAAATATTGTCATTCTCTATCTTTTTTTTTTTTGTTTCTTTCCTTTGCTTCTCCTTTTATTCATACTCCCTTTTTATTCGACACGCAATTCAATAAATATCATCCCAAGCGATAGATTGCATTAAGACACTAAAACAGAGATATAAACTTACAATCTTATAATATTCTCGTAAACTTTTACTAGGCAAAATCTCCTACATAATACATCGTTCATTAAGATTAATGTAATTTACGAAGTACGTATATACAGTGTTTCGATAACGTCTTCAATTTAGTAACAGTTTCGATAACGTCTTCATTTAGTGATGTATTCAATAACATCGAATTATCTAACGTAATTAATATACGTAACGCGTAAATTACGTCACAACAAGGCATTAAAGAGTAGTAGTTGAGGACTGCAAAGTATACATGATATTCTGATTATTTTGGGAGATACGATTATGTAAGCACGTAATTCTCTCTTTGATAAGCATAAAAGACATTGATACTCCGGAATACCTCTTTGGCTATTTTCCACTTGCTTGAATTGTAATCCTATTAATTTTTATTATTCTGTCATTTCTCTCCACTAATATAGTCCTACTGACAGTTACAACATACATATGTATCTGCTTAGGTGTAGTTTTGAAAGAATGGTAAGATTATATATCTCAAAATATCGTGCTTATAATTTCTGCGATGTATCGTCAACGCCAACAAGGCACTTTTAAGGCCTTTATTGCTATATCGACAAGATAACGGTATGTAAAAAAAAACAGCAAGATAGAGCTCTGTCGTCTCTTCTATTACTCTCCAACTATCTCTGTTTAAAACAAATTTTACAATTTTGATATAGAACATGCGCGAAGTGTATATATGCGTCATTCTCACAAATTCAACATATAGATTTCACTAAATCCTGTATCTTTCTCAACTTTCTCGAGATGACATTCCATAAACTATTTGGTGTTAATCTTAAAGTTGTTGCAATCTTTAGAAAATAGCTTTTCTCTTCAATTATTTCATATATATATATATATATATATATATATATATATATATATATATATATATA